CATGGGGATTTGGTTCGCCCGTAACACATCAAGTTCTTCTTCTGTCTTTTTTAACCGGAAACCGTTGCTCACTGTTGCTGGCAACATCACCCACTTCGCTTCTGCCACTGGTGATCAGGGTGGGACGTGATGGTTGATCCAAACAGAGGGGAAGGGGAGAGTTCCTCCTCAAAGTATGCAGTCAACCGGCCCAGTACGACGTTAAGTAAAACCATACACACAACGTGGTGGGTCTGGCATGAATGACTGCGTTAGATTACAAGATCTAAGGTCCTTTCGTCCTCATTCATAAAGTAGCTGACGCTTTATGCCAGAGCTCGTACCGCAGAGAGAGACTGCTTCTGTGTCTTCATGCGACGAGGTAGACCACTCTGGAGGGGGGGGGGCTGGCTACGGGGTACATGACCGGAGGAGGCAGAAACCGTTCTCTTCGCAACCTTGTCCGCAACCACGCGTGGTACCATCTGTACCAGCACCGGCTGTACCTTTTACAGGGGACGGTATAGCGACGGGGTAAAGGAATGAACATCCGGTGTTCCATTAGTAGGGTCGGGGCTCAGGGCCGGGGTGTGAAGCTGCCCATCCACCTACATTTAGTGCCGAGGTTAACAATTGCGGAGCTTCACCTCAATTACCCCATACGTTTTCATGACGTGGAGTTCTTATGCTTAAACACACGGACTTTATTTTTTATATCCAAACAAAACCGAGTTCAGAACACGGTTTGTGACATGTGGAGCTCACACAGCCGTCGCTAAGAACATAACTGTCTTCTGTGATATGACGCCGTTCTGTCTCGTAAATGTTTGGCGACGTTTCGGAGTAACGTGCTAGCAGAACCCTATTCTTCATGTCGGTGAGGACGAGGTTTTCTGTCTTTCAGCATGTGACGCCGTCAGAAACGTCGGTAAATATTTACCAGACTAAACGGCGTCATATCCCAGAACACAATACTGTTCACAGATATCCCCTGTCAGAACTTCAAAACAAAAATCGAAGAACAGAATAGGATTCTAACCTGAAGACGGCACTGCGTTCCTCAGAGACGTCAGTAAATGTACACCAGTCTACACGGCGTCACACTCCACCATACGATAGTAGGCTTAATCTTCATAATCACAGCCGTGAAAACCTCAAAGCTTACAAAAGCAAAAAGAGAAAATGGTTTACCCTGAAGATTTAACGAGGCGAGTTCCTTCGAAACGTTGGTAAATTTCTGCCCGACTACACGGCGTCATATTCCATATAAAATTATGCGTCTTATATACTCTACTGGAATATTTCTATGTATTGAATTTCTTCTATGCCAATCTTATGTCCCTTCATCAGGCCACTGCTTGGGCATTCCGCGGATACAACGGAACGTTCTCCCTGTGCTTAATTAGTTAAGCACCACTCTATAAAGACGTATGGGGGAGCGGAGGTATAGCTCCACCATTCTTAACCTCGGCACTAGACGGAGATGAGTGGTCAGTTTCACGCCCTTGCCTCTTCATCACCCGGTACCCGCTGTATAGGAGGCTGGATGGGCCCCAGAGTCAATCTGGATGCTGTGAAGGAGAGATAAATCTTGCCCCTGCCAGAAATCGAACCCAGGCCTTCCATCCTGCAGCCTGTCGCTATACCGACTGATCTATCCCGGCTCCTCTCGGCGTTAGTTGTTCCATATACACTGTCAATATCTGGATTATACAGTCCCTAATGGTAGGATTGGTGACTGGTAAAGTTGTCCCTGTGCTTAACTAAGCAAGCACTACGTCATGAAGGGGTATGGGGTAGGAGATATATAGATCCACGTCTTGTTGACCTCGCCACTAGTTGAAGGTGGTCAGCTACACGCCCCGGGGAAAAAAAAACACGGTGCCCATTGGATAGGATATTGGGTGGTCCCCAGAGCCGGCCTGGACGACATGGAGAAGAGAAAATTCATGCCCCCCACCGGGACTCGAACTTCGTCCAGCCCGTAGCAGTCGCTATACCGACTGAGCTATCCCGCCTCTAATAGCAGGACTGGCGAATGACGAATCTAAATTTGGAAGGAAATGTTCACGGCATAATTGAGGCATTATTTCGATATTTTCCTGAAGAAAATCACGAAAAAATTACGCGATGTTGCTTCGTCTTTTGAGAACAGGTTGCGTCGAATGCTGATAGTTTTCCAACGTTTCAACAAACATTTCAGTTGCCATCTTGAGGTTTTATTACTTCTGGAGAGACTTTTTGCACATCTCCCATTATCCACTGCATCCGAGGTGAAGCTGTGGTTTACCAACAAAGCTGCAGCCAGGAATACCTACTTCACAGAACATGTAGAATGACTTACATCTCTGGTGATATTCGAACCAAGCACCTCTGGATAGTTCTCGCTACACCAACATGCTTGGTTCTCTGAAATTAGATGGTTCATACAGAACGCCCAGCCTTCTCTGCTGGGTTGAACGAACTGTATGAACAGCTGCTAGGAGCCCATACTGTTCCACCGCCTTAGGTTGTTCTCTGTGTGGTCCGTGTCGGTGTGTGTGGTCACTTGAACTTTCTCACGGAGCATTTTGGGCGCAGTGGACTGGCGCGGACCTGTTCTTACACTTTCCTAAACGTCAAGAGTGGTGGAAGGAAAACATTTCCTGATGAGTGTAACAGATTCGGCGACTGTTTCAAGGGCAGTCAGCACAGCTTAGTCGGTATGGCGAGGGGCTGGACGGCCGAGGAATCGGGGTTCAATTCTCGAAATGGACAAGAGATTTTCTTTTCCAGTGTCCGGACCTCCACTGGGGCCCACCCAGCTTACTATCCAACGGTTGCCGGAGGCTCCTTTACTGAGGCAAAGCTGCCGAGACGTGATACCACTCAGCTGTATCTACTAGTGAGGTTACGAATAAGTGGAGTTTTGCCTCCACTCCAGTCCCGCATGTTTCTTTAATTAAGCACAGGGACACTTTACTTTCAAATTTAACTTCCTCGCCTCGGTAACGGGCCAAGTGCACGTTCGGAGATCAATTTCCTAACTTGAAGAGACGGAGGATGTGACAATGAGCTGCCTGACAGAGGCTATCGTGCGCCTCATGGAGCGGTCCCTGTGCTTGCTTAATTAAGCACTACGCCATGAAGACGTATGGAGGAGTAGATGTGTAGATGCACGTTTCCTTCACCTCGGCACAGTTGGATGTCAGTGGTCAGCTTCACGCCCGGGCCGCCTTACTCCGCTGTATCCATTGGACAGGAGGCTGGGTGGGCCCCAGAACCGGTCTGAACGACATAGAGAAGACAAAATTATTACCTCTACCGGGCCTCGAACTCCGACTCCTCGGTCGTCCAGCTTGTAGGCAGTCACTATACCGACTGAACTAACCCGGCTCACGGAGCGGTGAGGTATCAGAAGTGAGCAATAGTGGAATGATGATCTGCACGTGAAAACCGCAGGAAGTCCGACAAAAATCCCTGCCTCCATCACGAATATCAGATGAAGTCGTCCCAGACATGAGAAGCGAGCGCCTAGGCGCCTCAGGTACGGAACGGCCGTATGTCCTACGCGTGGCTGCAGATCTTCACCCAACTAACACTACTACGCAGTGGCCTTCGTGAGATCCCAACGGTCATCTGGCTACTCAAGAAATTCCACGAAATGTTCATCGAGTCTTTAGTTTCAATTCCTGGTATACTTAGCAACTATCTCAGTATGTAAGATTTGAGGTTTTCACAGCGGTGACTGTGAAGAATGCCGTCTTCTGGGATGTGGCGCAGTGTAGATATTGTGTAAACCGATGTTTCGGATGAACATATAGCCTCCATCTTCAGATTAGCTGCAGCCACCTGCTAACGCTGGTTCCTCGGTCGCGGATTCTTCTACCCTGAAGATGGAGGCGATACGTTCCTCTGAAACGTCGGTTTACACAAGATCTATACGATCCCACAAGACGGCATTCTTCTTCGACTATCTCAGTACTTCTTATTAAAGGTATAGGTAACGCAAGGTAAAGTTGTCCCTGTGCTTAATTAAGTAAGCACTATGCCATCAAGGCGTATGGGGGAGTGGATGTATAGGTCCAAGTTTTCTTGACCTCGGCACTGGTTGGTGGTGAGCTGTCAGCTTCACGGCCCGTCCGCTTTACCTCCGGAGAAAGAGACCCCAGTACCCACTGGATAGGAGGTTGGGTGGACCTCAGAGCCGGTCTGGACGACATGGAGAAAACTCTTGACCCCTCGGGACTCGAACTCCGATCCCTTGGTCGTCCAGCCCGTAGCCAGTCGCTAAACCGACTGCTCTATCCCGTCTCCTATTATACAGACGTTTCATGACACACTCATCGTCACTGGGCAATTTCAGGTAATCGTGTCGACAAACCGTCGAGAGTAAGCACGTTGCATGAACGTTAAGTCATTTTAACAAGTCACGAACGGTCTCTCTGGTGTCCTGTGTATATCCTGTATCGATATACTGAAGTGTTGTATACAATATAAAGGAGGTTTACGTAACTATTTATGCGTGTCATTCGTGGGGGATGGCGGCAAACACCGGCCTCGACGTATCATTCGTTAACATGTAGGACTGGAAAAGAATATGACAAAATGCAGGGGAAGTTAACAGCACGAAATCATGTTGTCACGTAGTATGTGTGTGACTAAAGACGGGGTTTCCACAGGTGAATGGATTTACTGACCACTTACCCATACGACTCGTAAGCATAAGTAATTACAGCGCCACCGCTATCTTGACGCTGTAGTACTACACACAGCAGTCTTCTCAGCTTTCACTATTCGTTTCCTGGCAACGAATCTTAACAATGAAGATTCTTCAGCTTCTGTGCTCATGTCGTTACTACCCGGCGAATATGCCGCAAGTGAAGTCTTTTCTTCACAGCCTACCGTACAGAACTGACTCTCCAAAGTCAGAGTCACAGTCAGGGTTACTTTACCACTGTCGGTTTACCGCCAATCAGTTCGTCTTAGCGACAAGCCCCTTGAGAATCACGAACAGTAATTTTTCTTTCCAAATGAACACTTAGGCTGATTTCGCACCGGGCCCGTCTGAGCCAGTCACGTCCAGTCGCGTCGGACTCACGTTGACTCATCTGACTGGCTTCACATAGCAACACAAGGAAATGTCCTAATCTCTTTCACACTGCACGCGTCTTGCCCAGTCCAGTCATGACTGGCCAGGACTCATCCGGTTGAATTTCTTGCCAGTCTTCGTGCGTCTCGCTCATAAGTCACACGCGCTTTAATCGGTTTCATGTGTAACATATTGTTGTAATATGGATGTCGAGAAACTGATAATTCTAGTGAGAAGTAGACGTGAAATATATGACACAAAGGACCCAAACCATCGAAATAAAGACTACATTGCTAGTGTTTGGAGAAGCATAGCAGAAGAATTACAAACAACTGGTACGAACTTTTTATTTATATTATTTCATGTACAAAAATTTATGAACTTGTGAACCAATTGTTGGTTGTAGTAGTATAATTTGTCAGGTAGTTAAAATAATAATATTATTACAACCTACGTAAATATTAAAAGTGACAGACTGCACATAATTACGCACATTTGCCATCTTGCCAAGGCACAGAACCGACAGGAGAGAGAAAATAATCCTTCAATTTGTCTCTAATTTTTACTGCTTCAATA